CATTTTCTTGAACGTTCCCCATGTCGAGCACAACAAAGTCCACGGGGACTATTAACTTCCCCACTCGAACAAGCACATCCTCCACAATCCCGGCTGGTTGGCGAAAAGAGCGATCAGCCAGCTGTAGGCGCATCCTAGTAGGCTTCAAGTCCCCAAGCCTGAGGTGGTGATAAACTGCGAGTGGCATGAGGTTTATGCCTGCTCCTAGATCGAGCATTCCCGAGGTCTCCTCTCCATTCCCGAAGGCCATAGTGATCACGAAGCCTCCGGGATCCTTTTCTTTCTTCGGCAAGTCATGCTGGAAGACACTCGCCGCCTCACAAAATATCACCTCCTCATCATTCTCAAACCGCTTCTTGCTTGTGGCTACCTCTTTGAAGAATCGTGCATAAGCCGGTATTTTCTTCAACACATCAGGCGGAGATAAGTCATCATTGGCCTTAGCCAACATCGCATGAAGGTCCCGAATCATGGTGCGGTCCTTCTCCTCTAACAGACGACTCGGAAAGGGGATTTTTGGTCTGAAGGGGTTAGGCGATCTGTGTAAAACAGGCTCGGGTGGCTGTGTAACTAGGCCTGGGACCTCTGGCTCGGTCATAATAACGGTCACTGACTTTGCATGTTCTGGTTGGCTCGGCAGCTTCCCTTTGTCTAATTCAGCCTCGATGGATCCAACCCGTGTGGCTAACTGACCCACTTGTGTCTCCAGACGCTTGATAGAAGCGTCATGATTGGTGACAAAATTGAGAATTTTGTCCAACTTGTCGTCCGTGCTCGATGGGGTTGGTCCATTTTCTGGTGCTGGCAGCCTTAACATTCCCCTCGGTTGCTGCTGCTGTGGGACGAAATTGGCTTGAGGAGGTTGCTGGTAGTGGTTGTTGGACCATGAGAAATGAGGGTGGTTACGCCACCCTGGATTGTATGTGTTCGAGTATGGGTCATTCCCGGGCCTGTTCTGGTATCCTTGCACTGCATTTATCTCAGCACCTTGTCCCCCATAGTTT